ATACTCCCAGGTGACGACGGCTGGAGCAATTTCTCTATTGATCAGTGCAGGTAATAATCCAGTAATTACATCACGATCTTCTTAAATATCTGCTGCACGGCTTGAAGAATCTTATTGCATGTCCACATTTGCTCACTGTTTCGAAATCGAGTCGTGATTTCGCCGTGTTTGTAAAGTGGTGCGTTTTTAAACTTCATTTGGCCTCATTCTCTGATTATTTTTTTAACGCGCAAAATCTACCACAATTTCCTCTTTATGTGTAATAAATATAAGCAGGAGGAGGCTGAGTGGCCAGGTGTTCCTCTTTATGTGGGACTGGACGTTATCAGTCTGACCCACAGTTTGATTGGCTCTAGCTTGCAAAGGTAAACACTGCAGGACAGACACTTCACTGGAATTTGTCTGTAACCTAATTTTAGATGTGGAAAATAAAATAGGACAGACTGCGATCTTGTATCACCTGCAGACTATTTTATGCCCACAAAGGTAAAAGCTGCTTCACTGGAATATCACTGAAGCTACCACAAAGAAAAGGAAGTTCTTTGTTACAATAAAGGCTGTGAAGCTATGTGACGAGCTAACCAGGTAAAGTCACTTATTCTCAGGGGATGTTACCGTCAAACGTCAGGTTTCTTTTGAGGTTATTGTTTGTAGAAAGTTGGTAAAACATTCAAAAAAAAAATAAAATGCATAGAAGTACTTGAAGTAATCATTTTTTGTGTGACTGTCTTTCACATTGTTTCTGATTAACTCAGTTATTAATTGAGGTTAATTAAGGTTAATTGAGGTTTGCTGGCATTCATTTTTGCACACCTCTCTTAAAGCCCCCCATAGCATTTCAATCAGGTTGAGGTCTGGACTTTGTGCCATTTCAACATCTGGATTCTTTTGACTCGATGCCACCAAGGTGCAGGTCTGCAAAACAAGTCCAAACCATCACCTGTCCTCCCCCGCGGTTGATAGTTGGTATGAGGTGTTTGTGCTGATGTGCTGTGTTTGGTTTTCGGCAAACATCTCCACTTTGCTCTAGTCTGTCCAAAGGAAAATGTTCCAAAACTCTTGTTGTCTGTTCAGATGCAACTTTGCAAACCTAAGCCATCGAGATATTTTTGGAGAAAAGAGCCTTTCTCCCGGTAACCCTCAAAATCAT